TATGCTATAGATAAACCAAGACATTGAAGTATGCGATTTAGGGCTGGAGTAAAACACCATAATGGTATATTTTAGATAAAAGAAACTGATTCAATACGATGATCTTAAGCAGCACATGATAGGAAGAAGGTAGCCAGGCAAGTTCATGAGCATGGGGCTGGAATCATGGTGGGAACACGGGGGGACGGTAGAGGGGAAGAAAATGGAAGAGCTGTAACTGTGGAAGCCACAATAACACATCAGAAAGGTGCAATGGGACAGTGGTGGGTGATCTGATTTCCCGGGAAAACTTTCTGATAAAAGCAGAGGATGTGAAAAATGTGTGCCTTCCTTCCTTTGCTGATAATTTTAATCTCTCAATAAACAGAAGTACTGGTGGAGAACGGGATTGGGTGTCAGTTCAGTTTTCACAAACATGGGAAGAGTAGTTGGTCATTTAGAAATATCAGAAACTTTGGGAGAAGGCCAAGTGCTTGTAAAATCCAGCCTCTCCATAATCCTGTCAGAGACATTTTAGAGGGGATTTCTTGGAAGGAAGGCTACACTAAATAATCTTTAAGTCCCTTCTGAGACAGTAAAGACTGCCTCTCACATTCCACAGGCACCCCGAAGAATTCCAGAGGCGGCTGCATGTGAACTGAGCAGGAAACAGCCGTCTGTGACTGCCTTGAAAGAAACAAACAGCATTACCCATGCAGTCCAGTAAAAAGAGCGTAAGAGATGTCATATAAATACTCCATAGAGCTGGAAGGACTGAGACAATGTGGTGCTGGGATAAAGATAGATCAGGGGTACAGAACAGATACTTCAAACATGGGATAGAAATATGCATAAGAATGGAATGTTTGATAAAAGATAAGAAAGATAGAAAGGTAAAAAAGATAAAAGTAAGCCAACGGAGGCCCAGAAAAGTGGGAATACGTATCAACTTCTACGGTGGGACAAGCCTTTTCGTATTTAGAAATGGAATAAAGAACTCATAAAGGAAAAGTTAAACATATATATTTTTTTAGAAAAACAACATTAAGAGGCAAAAAAAAAACAACCAGACTATATAAGTGTTTTTAGGAAATATGAATTCCAAAGATTAAAACGCTTAATAATAAATAACCAAATGTAAATCAAAAAGGTTTGAGCTCTGTGTGATAAATGGATACGGTATGAAAGTAATCTATTTGCAAAAGAGGAAATACTAATAACAGAGGAGGTAAATAATTTACAAAGGGTAGATATAAAAAAAATGAGGGCAAAATCATAGGATGCCATCTTTACATATCAAATTAGCAAATAAATATTAAATACATATGCATATTTTGGAAATTAATCGCCCAGCATTTAACAAGAAACTTTCAAATGTTCATTTCTTGTGATCTGCTAGTTTTACATACAGGAGTCTATCCAAGGACAGTAATTCTAATTGCTGAAAAGCTCTATGCGTGGAAATGGTTCACATAATATTACCTGTTTTAAAAAATGAGCAAAAAAGGAAGGAAGGAATAAGAGTTAATAGTCAATGAATGCTTTCTACGTGTAGGTGCTATGTGGTTATCGCACGTAAACTATCATATTAAAATCTCGCAACAGTCCCCTGAACTAGACATAATCACCATTTTACAAAAAAGGTAACATGCTTCTCTCTGTGCTTGAAGACATTAAATTCTCCAAACAAACTTGCCTTCTAAGAGTGAAACAATGGAAACAGCCTAAATGTAAACACTAGGCTGGTTAAATAAATTGGAGGTTTGTTCAATGGATTATTTACATTTCTTACATATAAAACAATAAAATGGAAAAACTAATTTAGGACAAGGTGTTAATAAAAATACACAATAGAGTATTTAATGTGATGAAAATGTTTCCGTGGAAAAAAGACTGGAAGAAACTGCAGACACACTAAGTGAATAAAACAGAACCCGACCCTGAGAAAGTGCCAACAAACGGGGTCAGCGGGAGCCCCGAGGAACCACGTGAAGTACAGTTCACCTGGCAGAATGCAGAAATGACGAAGGGACACCCAGGAAGACCCTGAGAGGCTGGAAAACAGTTGAAGCAGTCTGGCTAGTACAGGAGATAGAGAACGTAATGCAGGGCAGATACGGTAAATCTTCTATAACGAGCAGGGGCTGTAATTCTTTTCATGGTAAGTTGCCGGGAAAATCATAAATTGGTCATGGTTAAAATGTCACAAGGCTCAAAATCATAAAGAAAAAATAATGAATTATTGAGGTTGTGGCTTACTCTGGAAGTTACACAACATTTTCTGACACAAGTGGGAGGTGGAGACGAGAGCAATTTCTGCTAGATAAGCATTTCAATTAGGCAGTTGGGAAAATTTGGGTGGAAAAATGCAAATCTTTACTCTCGAGTTAGTAGATGGAAGTATCTGCCTGGGTAAGCTTTCGGGAAAAGGGGTCTGGATCAATGCATGTTCAGACCATAGAAAATGTCACTGCTTGGCCAAAATGAACAAATCAGGAGACTATAGATGCTGGAGATGATGTGGAGAAATGGGAACCCTCTTGCACTGTTGGTGGGAATGCAAACTGGTGCAGCCACTCTGGAAAACCGTGTGGAGGTTCCTCAAAAAATTAAAAATAGACCTACCCTATGACCCAGCAGTAGCACTACTAGGAATTTACCCAAGGGATACAGGAGTACTGATGCATAGGGGCACTTGTACCCCAATGTTTATAGCAGCACTCTCAACAATAGCCAAATTATGGAAAGAGCCTAAATGTCCATCAACTGATGAATGGATAAAGAAATTGTGGTTTATATACACAATGGAGTACTACGTGGCAATGAGAAAGAACGAAATATGGCCCTTTGTAGCAACATGGATAGAACTGGAGAGTGTGATGCTAAGTGAAATAAGCCATACAGAGAAAGACAGATACCATATGGTTTCACTCTTATGTGGATCCTGAGAAACTTAACAGAAACCCATGGGGGAGGGGAAGGAAAAAAAAAAGAGGTTAGAGTGGGAGAGAGCCAAAGCATAAGAGACTCTTAAAAACTGAGAACAAACTGAGGGTTGATGGAGGGTGGGAGGGAGGGGAGGGTGGGTGATGGGTACTGAGGAGGGCACCTTTTGGGATGAGCACTGGGTGTTGTATGGAAACCAATTTGACAATAAATTTCATATATTGAAAAAAAAGTTTTAAAAATGCAAAGAAAGCATGTGACAAAAAAAAAAAAAGAAAGAAAATGTCACTGCTGCACATATATACACAGCACGCACCAGACTAATCCTCAACTCAACGTGAGTTTTATACTTTGGAGAATTTCATAAATATCCTAAGAATACTGTTTTGTAACTCAGGATCTGACTCTCTTTTTTCTGTCTCCCACTTGTCGCTGTCTCCTGTCTTCTCTCCTGTTCTTTCTTGTGATACTAAAAAAAACCCATACGTATATATTCACATATATGTACGTGTGCATGTACATATATATATATATATGTATATATATATATATATACAGGTACACACACACATAAAACTTACTGTAACTAGTTTAGAATTTGCTATCTATGGCCACTATTGAAAAACAATAAAAGGGGGCGCCTGGGTGGCGCAGTCGGTTGAGCGTCCGACTTCAGCCAGGTCACGATCTCGCCGTCCGTGAGTTCGAGCCCCGCGTCGGGCTCTGGGCTGATGGCTCGGAGCCTGGAGCCTGTTTCCGATTCTGTGTCTCCCTCTCTCTCTGCCCCTCCCCCGTTCATGCTCTGTCTCTCTCTGTCCCAAAAATAAATAAACGTTGAAAAAAAAAAATTAAAAAAAAAAAAAAGAAAAACAATAAAAACAACAACAAAAACAAACAAATGCTTGGTCACCTCAGCACAAAATACACAGGTTTGTGGGGGCGGAAACTACCTCTCCAATGGCGACTGCTTTCTACTTGGTGCATACCATCTACCCTCATCTGACTTGACGGGCAAAAGTGAATTGTTCCTCTGATGTAACAATGACCATAACATAATAACTGACTGTCACCTCTCCATTGGAAATTCTGGGAGGGCAGGGACCATGCCTGGTTTGTTTATAGCTGGAGCACCCACACCAGGACAGTAACTCAATAAATGTTTGTTGAATGAACGAATGAGCGAATGAGTGGATACTGCAAGTTTTATGTATCTTTCTGGACAGCCCAAGTCCTACTCTTCTGAGAATATCTTCTCTTAGAGCCCCAGTGATTGACCCTTCTGGAAATTATTACATTATTGGCCTGTGTTACCACTTCGCACCTGATTCTACACATTATTCTAATTGCTGGGTTTTGTTGTTGTTGTTGTTGCTGTGCTTTGCAATTTAGGGAGACATGGTCCTCAGGAACACTTATGTATGTATATATCTATTCTCTTCCCCGGAGTATTTGTTCCACAGCACACGGAAAGTCCTCAATAAAGATGTATTAAATTAAATGATGAAATCTTTTAAACGGCCTTCTACTTGGGCACATTTCTAAACATTTTCCCTATTGAATGCATCGTTATTATGATTCCAAAGAGTGACGGGAAAAATGTGGACTGGTGTCAGTTGGGTTGAATTTCTAGTTCTGCCACCGCATTGCTGGAAAAGCCACCTGAATGCTGGCCCTCTGTTTCCCCGTCTTTGAAATGTGAACATTCGTAAGCAAACAAACAATATCCACCTGCCTCAAAGAGACGACTGTGGAATCAGATGGCATAATGTAGGTGAAGGAGTTTTGCAAATTACAAAGCAAACGTTAGCTCTTCTATTTAGCAATTTAAAACATGAAATTGATATCGCAATGCCACAGATGATATATACTACACATGGCTTTTTCTGAGAATAGCTGTCGGGCAGGAGAGCAAGGTGATGAGGAAAAGAATCTCAAGCACAACCTGCCAGACAAATCCCAGTCATAAACATGTCCCATGTTGACTATGCTCAACACTTGCGTGTGGGTAGATTACTGGACACCTGTCACCAACACCCTTTGGTACTGCTGCGAAGTACCTTGAAACCCAAGCTTACCAGATACAAGCTGCTGTCCAGGCAACCCCACGGGAACCATGCCCAAGTTATTCATGGCGGTGGCCCAGGCTGTGGGATCGGTCACGGACATGTTGAGCTGGGTCGTGTCTATCGCTATACTCCCCAAACCATCAGCTGCTGCGGGGAAAAACAAACTGTGACTTCCAGTCAACAGGCAAGAGTGTTTGTTTTAAAGGAGATCACATTGCTAGAGATGCGAGACTTCACTTAGCACATTCCCCAACCACGCGAAAATAAAGCACTGTAATCTACAGCAATGTTTTCTCCAGACGTAAACATAAAGGGTTTCCAAATACATTCTGGGAGGAAACTTAATGACATGTAGTTTGTGTTACACACAGCATGCCATTAAGGAAGCACTCCTGGGAAAAAATGGAGGAACTGCTTCTTTCTCTTAGTGAGACAACGTGAGTTAAGTTCTAAGGTGGAGAGGCAGAACAGCACCACTCCTTTGGTAAGGGAAAAAAAAAAGTCAATTGGTTCAGTAGACTAAAAATAAATGCCATCATCTATTTCTGAGCAGAATTTTGGAGCAGGCACACCTTCCAGCTATTTAACAGAATTTTTAAAAACCGTCGCCAAGCAGCGACTCAGTTCGGTCCTAACTGAATTTATCAGGGTTACCTTGTAACATACTCTTTCCTTTCTAAGCTTTTTGTATCATTCCATTATGGAAATGCAGGTGTCTGCTTAAGATGACTCTTCCAAAATATTTCTTATAAGTTCAGACTTTCGTCAAAACCAAACAAACAAATAAATAACATTAAAAACAAAGAGCACAGGGCCAGAAAAAAAAAAAAACTCAGCAAAACATGTGAAATTTGACTTAATGAGTTTTGATGTATGCTAGTCCCATGGCCCGATTTCTTTAAGGATTCCAGGTTCCCGGTTCAATGCCTATTTTCACGGCCAGGCAAGCTCTTCCCCTAAGAACTCACAACGCCTTGTTTGTGTCCTGGGCGGGCCACTGGCATTTACCTGCAGCCATCATCTGAGGAAGCTGCTGGGGACACCGGCTGATGCTTTCCACGCCACCTGCATCTACGACTGAACTATGAGCATCCTTGGGGGCAGGTGCGCTCTGATGGCTGAGTGCAGGTTCCCCACGGAGGTCATCGGATTCTGCAAAAGGGGAGAGGAGGGTGGTGAGAGATCACGACAGTTAGCCGAGGGAGCCTTTGAGGAAAACACTGTTGTCTGGGCAAAAACCAATGAACAACAAAGGACAACTTCCAGTCACAGACTGAGACTCGGGGAGGGGCTGCTTCCTGAGCCCCGGGCGGCCCAGCCGGTCCCTGCCTAGGTTTGCCCTGGGTGCGCTGGGCGGGCCAGCTGTCAGCTCACCTAGAGCCACGCTGCCTGTTAATAAGCAGCCCCTTGTGCAAGCGGCCAGGGCCTTCCTTGCCTCCTACTGAAGAGACTTCACAGACGGGGCTTATCAGCCCCGGCACAGCCTCTTCCACTCACTACACATCAATGGAGAGGGCAGACTCGGGGCTAAATATGATTTTCTTTAAGTTAAAAAATTAATTGATGTTGTTATTTTGGAAGACGGTCGTCTGCGAAATGTATTCGGGGGGGGGGGGGTGGGAAATGGAGGGCAGAGGAAGAGAAAAGCCAGGAGCTATTCGCCGTGAAGCTGGTAAAGGAGTGCGCCCAGATTACAATAGCCAGCAGAGGCAGAGGGAAAGAATAGTGCGCCTCTCATAAAAGAAGATGGAGAGGATGTTGGGGCAGCAAAGAGACACAGTTGTTTCTTTCATTTCTATGAAGATAAATTGAACAGGCCACAGTTTGTTGGGTCTGGGTTTTCCCTAGCCTCACAGCGCACACGCATGCGCGTGCACGCACGCACGCACACACACACGCACACACACATACATCTATATGCACATATTTTTGTTAAACTTTCCAAAGCACTCTTCTAGTAAAAACAAATAATAAAGCATTAAATAAAGCTGCAAAGGAAAGGGTCCCTCTATAGCCCGCTATTTATAAAATAACCTTCCCCCCATCCTTAAAAATGCAAAAACATAGCATTCATACATACAGTGTTTTTCATGCACACGTATTTTAAGTGCACATTCAGCAGTTCAAAACTGAAAGGCAAAACATACCGCTTACGTGTGGGATCTGCGAAGTTTGAATTTTAAGTGGATTTGATGTAACAGTTTAATTATTTCTTTTTATTTAGCTATAAACTTAGAAGTTTTTCTAACCCGTGTTTTTGCTATTGGGTATTTTAGAATTAGATGCGAGGGTCTGTTTGTGTGTGTCTAGTTCACACTTTAGGAGTATAAGTTTAGTTCAAATGGAAGCTCAGATTTCAGTATTTCAAGGAATAGGTGGGTGATAGCAAATTGTTTCCATAGTCTCCACAAACACCTAGCCCTCGACCGGAGGGGCACGTGAGATGGCGGGGAATATTTTCCAATAGCTTGTTGGCCGATGATACATCATCATTCAATAGAAGATGATTCCAACTTTGAGAGCAAACTGCACTCAAGACAAATGCTTTATACCTTGCAATGAAACTCACCTACCCATGGGGCGCCTGGGCGGTTCAGTCAGTTTAAGTGTCCGACTTTGGCTCAAGTCATGATCTTGTAATTCATGGGTTTGAGCCCCCCACATGGGGTTCTGTGCTGCCAGCTCAGAGCCTGGAGCCTGCTTTGGATTCTGTGTCTCCCTCTCTCTTTGCCCTGCCCCCACTCATGCTCTGTTTCTCTCTCCAAAATGAACAAACATTAAAAAATTTTAAAAAAACCCAAAAACTCTACTACCCAAATGAATTGAGACCTTGTTCACTTGTGGTGAATCAATTATTCACCACGGCAACGGATGCCATCAGGCAACGTTCTCACCATAGAAAATGAACTCAGTAACAAATACATAACAGATCTAAATGTCTGCCCTTTGGCTACCCACACACCAGCTATATTTCTATGATGAAACCTCACAGCACTTTCCCCTGTCTACCTCCAACCAGTTCAGATCACCACAGCAGAGTCCGGCTAGACTGTTCATTCTTTTGCTCAAATGGCCATGGAGTAGAGTTGTTTCAGATTGTTGCAAGGTCACCATTTGTCTTACTTATCTCCCTAAATGAAGTTTAGTTGGCTGGCTTCCTGCCAGCTTGGGTTCTCTCCAAATGGGCATTAATCACAACTTTCTGTCCAATGAGTCTGCAGTTCTGGAATATTACATCAAAGAGCATCCCTTTACTTTGTAGGCTTTACCACTGGTATCTGACCTGCCATGTTTCCCCTTGCCTTTTTGCAACAGTATTTTAGGGATGCCGTTAGCTTTCCATGGCTCTATAACTGTCTGTTCCAAAGGTAGTTTTCTCCTCAGTGATTATAGTGTCACATGGGGGCATCAAACGTCCCAGGGGCCCATAGTGCTCACCCACACTTTCATGCCCATCCTAAACTAATACTGTTCCATTGGGAACAGTAATGAACTGTTACTGTGTCATACAACAAATAAAAAACAAACAAAAAAAGTCATTGCTTTGTTGGCAAGATGTAAGATGTAAACCTGAATTTATCCCCTAATGAGACTCTGACACTTAATTTATTACATGCCTTCAATCTACCAACCAATGGTTTCAATGTCATACAACTTCATGTAGCTGCCATGTACCTAGAATGGTGACTCCAAAGTAAGTTGTATCACCTCTTAGGCATTTCTAAGAGTCTCAAGGAAGCCAGGCAATTTTTTAAAAAAATGTAAATTTCCTTGATGCTTGGAAGAAAGATGATATTTTAAATTAATTACTACCTAGTAATTTATGAATGGTTGCAAGAGTAATTTTTATACTCTCCTAACATCTATCGTTCCTATTGAATACCTGCCTCTTTACATGACTCAAAGCCATAATGCCTAATTTATCATTCAAATCCATTTCTCTGCCTTAGTTTTCTTATTTCTAAACTACAGAAAAGATTGATCATGTTAATGGTGTTTACTTACACACAGAGATGTGGGGAGTTAAAAAATTATAGCTAATAAAGCACTTGGAATATAGTAGATGCTAATTATTATTATTTTATTTGGAAGTGTAGTGTTTCTATGAAGGTAGCCTGGGATCTCAGTGTTCTACGGGATAATTATGTAATTAATTCTAAAACAGCGAGTAACACTTGATATTTCTAAGAGTAAGCACTGCCCTAGTTTTCTATGCCACACCTAAATTGTAGCAGAATATTTCTTTATTTTCCACAAATCCTTTATAAAATAATACAATGTGAATTAAAAGATGTATGAATTTTCTTCTCTAGGCTATTCTTCTGTTTATGCAACTATGAAAGCTTTCAAGAAACTGATGACTAATTGTGAAATTAGCAGTTTGAATTTACAGCTTTTAGTAAGACAAGATCATCACAAAACCAATCGGATGTACAAAGCGCCAAGGTTAATGATACAGCACTGTTCAGGGTTCAGATGAAATCTAACCTGTTCTTTGTTAAGGTATATGCACGTACAAAATCTCATACCCAATTTCGTAACTGTTCAACAAGATCGATTTATGCTCAGGATTTCACTGGGCTACATCAACAGGGCAAATAATTTTTGAAACTCACCAAGCCTATGAAAATACTATTTCCCCCCATTCCTCCCTCAAAAGAAACAAACAAACAGACAAACAAACAGCACAGCTTTTCTCACTGTAAGTAACACAACTCTTGCTAACCCTGTCCAACTTTCACGTGTCCCAAGGACACACACACACGCTATGAATAATAAAACCCATCTGTAACTGTCCACAAAGCATAGATTGCTATAAAATGGGGGTAGAGATGAGTTAAGTATTGAAATTTTATTTTTTAAAATTTAACAGAATGATTTTGTTTGATGTTAAAGTACATAATATATACTTATATGTTATTTATATGTAATAATTATATATAATTATAGTATATTTATACATTTATAAAATATATTTAAAACTATATATAAACTGTATGTGTATATATATATACACACACACACACACATATGTTTTTCAAGTGAATTCAGTCATAGAAGAAAGGAAGGAAACTAAAAAGGAAAATAAAAAGAGAAAGAAGGAAATGACAAAGGAACAAAGGAATAAACTTCAGTTCCAGGGTCCAATTCCAAAGGCTGGAGGTTTGAAAACTAAAGAACACAAAAGGGGAAATTGTTGTTGGGAACTAGAACACAGACGAATTTAAAGTGTCAAAGAAAGACAATTTTTAAAAATGTTAGATCCTTCCAGATAAGCTTTTGGTGCACTTAACAAGTCATTCTTCACGATCTAAGATTCCACACCTCCCTGGCAACCAATGTGGGGCCATCATCAGGTTACCAGGATGCTCCCCTTTTGTGAGACTTCTTGCAGCTGTTCTTTGAATGAGCTGAAATCTATAAATAACAGCATCTCCAGACCCATTAAACAGTACGTTAGTGTAATAAAGGCACATACGTACATATATGCTAAAGAAGTGATATCATTGGAAGAAAGGAAAAATTTCCATTTGGCACGTACTACAGAGGAAAGAAAGCAGGTCTGGCCGTTTCTCAAACACAAAATATCATTAAGGATCTGAGCTTGCATCCTCCATTTTTCCATTCTGTCTAGCAGCCAGTTTTAAACTATAAGTTGTCATTCTTCCATGTTAGGGAGGGAACGGTTACTGAATGGATGATAAGGTTTTACCCAAGACATGTCTGTCTTTGAAAAACTCAACATTGAGAGAGACAGACAGACAGACAGACAGAGGCAGAGACAGACAGAGAATATGAATGAGAGAGAAGGTTTCCTCTGAAATCATGAAATCAAACAAAATTACCAAATTTGCCAGAGACAACTCAACCAGCATGGGCATGAGAGGTAGATAAAGTCCTTGGACGCAAAGTAAAATACTGTTTGGCATTACATTTTTAAGTGTAGAGCAATGACAGAGGTAAAATTACTTTGTTTTCAGGAAATCGATTCTTTTCAAAAATATTACATTTTATATTTCTAAATTGAACAAAATAATAAAAGAGAAAGCTTGAGACCTTAGGGATAAAGTATTTCTTTTTCCGTTAAAGACAGAAAAGGAAATAGGACCAGATACTACTATGATAATATGTAATTTCAAAGTCTGTATATA